TATAACTTTGTCAACTTTCCTTTTTTGGATGTCCCACTAACTTTGCCACTTTCCCTTAAAGAATTTGTGGTTCCTGTTAATTCTCTCTCCTCTGCACAAACCTCACCCACACAGTTTTTATTTTATTAATCCCCGTGTCGGTCAAACTTGGCAAAGTATTGAGGGACGGAGGGAGTACTCCGTATTTATATATATAATTAAATTCATGAATAGAAAATGTATATCATTTCTTAATTTAATATTGAGAATAGAATGTAATTATGTAAAAAAAACTATATTTTATTAAAGTATATTAGTTTTAACAAAATTTAAAATACATTTGTGTATAAAATGGATGATAAATAATTTAAATATGAATATAATACCGGCCAATACAAAATAAGAAAAAATAAAAAATAAAGATGACATACTTAATGGTGGATTGAGGAAGTATAAATAGCATTGGTTTGTATGTATTACGTAGTATAATTTTTATCATAAAATAATTATTTAACAGACTAATTAAAGCTCAATTAAATGGTACACATTCGAAAGGTATAAGGATAGCTAAGCATCCGATATTAACATCCGCGTACCTAGCTCATTATTTGGACTCACCGAAATGCTTCTGTTGACGTGAGTTCAATCCCCGCGGCCAACTTCTTTCCCCGGTTTTTTGGCATTTCCCGGGTTTGGAGCGGTTCGGGTCTGTCCCGACCCTGGGCGGGTCGCCGGTTAAATCCTGTTTTCAGCACATTTGTTGTTCGATGCCCAGCCGGACCGGATAGGTGGCCGGATGGGCCGCTTCTGGGTCCGACCGGCCTGTCTGGTTTGAGTCTTACAACATAATCCATAGTAGTAGTGAATTCGAAACCATGAAGAAACATGGGTTGGCGATGGAACGTACGTATTATATATATATATTAAAAATTGGCTTGGTTTCCTTTCAAAAAAATTGGCTTGGTTTATTGTTTATGCATTGGGTATTTAATTCAACCAACACTTGAGATCGAGTTTCAAAAATTCTTCTTATACCCATTATTTATATACACCATCCTACACTTTTGTGAGTAGTTATATTTTTTTATATACACCATCCTACACTTTTGTGAGTAGTTATATTTTTTTCTATGAATAAGCTATTCACAACAAAACAATAGCTCCTAATATACGTGGGTCAAATAGTGTATACAAAAAAGTGTACAAATATATTTTTCGTAGAGTTTAGACATTACGCCGGCCACACACATAAGAGCAAGTGTAATTACTTTTAATCTAATGAAATGAACTTAATAAGAATATGAACTTAATCCGGCCAGCTCACGCCCTGCACGTGAAATTAGCCACTTATATCCAGTTCCTATACCGTGGGATCATCCCACGGTGAGCACCATGCTCCACCTCCAAAACGACGTAGTTTTGATCGAATTTAAAAAAAAAAACGCGTGAATAGTACACGCGTGAACAGTACACGCATGTACAGTCTTTTTTATTTTTTTTTATTTTGCTCCAGTAACATAATGATGTAACTCACGTGTAAAGAAATGTCACTCACGTTATTGATGAATATAACTCAAGTCTAGTTGAAGTGTAACTTGTCCAATATATAACATAAAAAATAAAATATTGATTTCAATGGGAAAAAGGAGCCTAATTGTCCAATTATTTTACATAAATAGTGTTTATGTTTTCTTTTTAATATCAGGGCTATAAAAATGATTTTTGTTTAAAAAGTAATTTTTATTTGAATAACAGACTTGTTGGGTTGTGTAACTCGCATTATATTGTGATGTAACTCGCGTTTCGAAAAAAGTAAATCAAATGCAAAAATGATGTAACTTGCTAAGAAAAGTTGACATGTAACTCGTGGTGTAAGATATGTAACTTTAAGCAAATTCTTATGTAACCGCGTGTATTTTCAAATGTAAATTGAACCCAAATCATAATATAAGCATAGAAATGTAACTTAACACATATATAATCAAAGTAAGTGACTGGAGAGACAAGAATTTGGACTGGCAATTACTTATCTAATTGTGTCCCTTAAACTTGAATCAAAGAGATAAATTTAGATTTGGGTTATTGACTTTGTATCCGGATTGAATATTTGAATCTACACAGGCGTAGATATGATTTGGATCTGAGATTTAGGCTTTGTGTTATGCTGGATGGCCAAGGGAAATTCGAAGCAAAGCAGCGAAGCAGATACGGAATACCTAAGCCTGTAATTCCGGTTCCGCTATCCCTATTGCACAACAATTACAGAGGAAGGAAATACATTGGTTCAATGCAGAGCAGATCCGCAGCAGGTGGCATAGCAACTTGCGAAGGAGATAAAGGGGCAGAGGAGATGGAGATAGCAACTTTTAATACGTATGAAACTGTACCGTTTTGGGATCGGTACACCTTGCGCATGGTGGGCCGATCCCACGATATAATTTGTCCGTCAGTGTGGCCAAGACGTCCACATATAAAGCACAGATTTAGACGTCTCTCTTATATTTGAAATACGCCGAGAACCAGCTCTCCCCGTCTTCCCTGACCTGTGTTCTTCTTTAATTTTTTAGTGCATTCTTGATATCAAGCAACACACGGATACATATATACTCCTTACTATCTCCACTCATGGTTCATTCATCAATCTGTGTCAATTTCCCTATATATCGACCAATACTAGTCATCATTGTCTTAGTCATAAAACTTAGGGGTAAATTATGCATCTGAACTCAGAACTCCATGTGATCCAACTCTACCTCAAGAGGTCTTTCCTTGGATTTCCCCCTTCTAATAATTACTAAGTTTTGGTCATAGGACCACGAGCCATCCTGCAGTACCCGTGAGATGTTGTTTTCATGATAGAGTTGATTCATGAACCGCATATCTTCAATCTGTTCAACACTCACTCCTTTACCCGGGCTCTAAATCATCACCATAGTCTCCCTGGAGGAGATGGGGCGGACAGGTTTGTATGTGACAACGCTAGCAGCAGCAGAAAAACATGAATTCTCTTTAACCCCACTACTAACATTAGAGCTACGGATTCAAACACCAAACCGATGTTTTGACGTAATCAAGTAAATTGACTGAGTAAATATGTATGAATTGGTGGAGAATTTGATTTATTGAAGGAAAAGATTACGATTAGATTGATGAACAAAAGAGTTTACAAAAACAAAGTTTACAAAAACAAAGTTTACAAAAACAAAGTTTGTGTGATAGATATAACTTAGACAAGTTATTTTTACAATCAATTAATTATCGATAAAGTGAGTTACTACCTCCGTTCCATTTCACGTGTCTTCTTTTAGTTTGGCATAATTTAAAAAGTGGTTGAATATAATTATGGTAACTAAAAGTTACTAAGTCAAATTTTTTACCAGGAGTATTATAATGTTTTAGTTGTATTTTAGAAAATATCTACTTTTTAACGATTGAAAGCGAGAATTGAACAATTTGTTCGGATTCAGGGACTTTTTTTTTTAATAATCGACCGGACTGTTACATTTAAAAAGTGATCATTTTATCAAGTTTAAGAGTCAATGAAGGTTTTTTTTTTAATTTAAATGGCAAGTTATTGGCCGGGCATTTTGGATGAGTAGAGAAACCTGTTTGACTCTTTAGCCATAAAATCGTAGACACAACCATAGTTTAAAAATATTTTTTGTTTTAAGTGTAACTTGGAACTTATTAACATAATTGCTTTTATAATGTGTGTTGTCGTTATGTGTATTTTAATATGAAATACATTTTGTATGAAATATAACATGTCAAAGGTAAAATGCACACCTTAGACCAAAAGTTATATACTGCGTACTACGTACTCCGTATATGATTTTGGAAATTCAAAAACTAGCATTCCTGAGATAGATGTACCTAGTGCTGGACTCGGGCCGGGCGGCCCGGCCCGGAACCGGCCCGGCCCGGAACCGGCCCGGCCCGGTTACTGTTTGGCCCGGCCCGGCCCGGGGTCCGGTGGGTCCACCGGTTCGGTTCGGCCCGGCCCGGCCCGGCCCGGCTGCTGGGCGGTTCGGGCTTGGGCCCAGGTTTTGGTGAACCGGCCCGGCCGGTTCGGGCCCGGTCTGGGCCGGATTTTAATTTTTTTTTTTTTGAAATTTTTTTAAGTTTTAGGTTGGATTAGGTATTTTGGGCCATTTGAGGTGGTTTGGGATGGTTTGGGGTTCAGGGGGAGGGGTAGGGGATTAAATAGGAGAACAAAAAAAAATTAATTGGGCCGGTTCGGCCCGGCCCGGCCCGGTTTGGCCCGGAACCGGCCACCGGCGGTTCGGGCTCGGGCCTTCCCTTTCCTGGCCCCAGGCCCGAACCGGGCCCGAACCGGCCCGAGTCCAGCCCTAGATGTACCTATGTGATATTGATTGAGATCTCTTTCATCTATGCATACAAATTCAACTTAATTTACTCTAATAACGGATAAAAAAAACTCATAATAACTGTTGAAGTATATGTCCCACACCAGAAAGCTATAAAATAATAAAACGTTATATAAGATTTTGGGCTACTCCTCCTATCAGGTTGACCTTTTAGGATAGAATCCCGGGTCTTAACTTGGTATCAGAGCCAATTCCGGTTGTGGGTTGACTGCTTGTTTAGCACCCATGATTACGGGTAGCTTGTTAAGGGCCTGTTTGACCCATTTATACAACCCGATATTGTCCAGCCCGGTGCGGGCTGAGGGGGCGTGTTGAAGTATTTGTCCCACACCGGAAAGCTATAAAATAATAAAATGCTATATAAGGCTTTGGACTACTCCTCCTATCAGGTTGACCTTTTAGAATGGAACCCCGGGTCTTAACAATAACATTAACCTTTTCAAATTTCTAAGAAAAGGGTGGAAAACTCCCTTTTGGATTCCTTGCAATCTCTTTAATTACAATTTGGAACATATATCTTTGTTATATAGCAAAGAATCTATTATCCATAACATTTTATTTTCTCAACACAACTTTAGACCATACACCTGCACGTTAATTTTCAATTCACATTGTTTACAATTAATTATGCGATGAAGAGAGTAATATTTTCACCTTTCCCAATTTATAAAAAACCTCACATCATACATCGCATGAGTGAAAAACTAGTTTGATACAACAATCAATCATGCATACGAATTAGTCAACACTTGTGATAAGAACAATCAACTTCGCATATCACTATTATTACTATAATAATAGTAATGATATTAACAACACAAACACAGACCCATCAAAAAGAAAATCTTCACATGTGACAAATGATAATAGATCACAAATTCTTCAAAACGTAAAATTTATATATTATAGTTGCTTTTGGGGTAGATTCATTTTATGAAATGGAAGTAAAACATTTATTCAAAAGGCTCTATGTAGCACGAAAATCGGAAGAGTAAGAGCCCGTTTGGTAGCACCAAAATCGGCTGTTTTGGCTGATTCTGCTGAAATTTATGATATTCTGGCTGGAGTGGCTGTTTTGGCTGATTCTGCTGATTTAAGAAAAAAATATTTTAAAAATATATTTTATTAATAAATTAAAGAAAAAATTATATGTAAAAATAGCTAAAATGGTCCTCTACAGTAACTTCAGCCAATACAGCCAGAAAAGTAACTCCAACCTTACTTTTTCGGCTTATTACACAATTCAGCGCGCGAAAGTAAAAGTTACGTGTTTGGTGAAAAAGCTTGCTGAGAAGCCTGATAAGCCGAAAACAGAGTTCTCCAAACGGGCTCTAAGTTTCCATTTCGGAAACTCTCCAATCAAACATTTTTAAGTAAAAGTTGAAGTGTTCAGTTTCCCGTTTCCTCGTGATTTGTGAGTTTCAATGCAACATAGCTTATTCTGATACCCGGATAACATCCTAAATCTGAGTATCCTAAGATAGTATTCAAAGCAACTTAGGGGTTGAAGAAAGCGGCTAACTTTTTTACCATAGCCATGGAATTATCAGAGGTGGGAGACATCACATTGAATACGTGGTCCTCCCCCTTAGCTTCCACCAGCTCCGCCGCCCCGCACCACCCATTTTTGCCCAACGCCTCCTTGTAGTGCCGCCCCCTCTGCCTAAGCGGGTCCTTCTCTGCCACGTAAACCAGCACTTTCTTGCACCCCAGCTTCCTGAATTCAGGGTCCATCATCGGGTTCAAAAGCGGGTCGTCCGGCCCGGTTGTTGTCGGGTTCACGAACAGCCAAAGACTCTCAAGATACGAACGTGCGGGCCCCACCTCATCCCCTTCTTCACCAATCGGATCCTTTCCCCAGAAAAACGGGCAGTTGAGGAAGAGCCCGTCAAGATTGATCCCATCCAGTCCTTCCAACCCGACCCGAATCGCCATTCGGTGGGCTATGGTTCCACCCGCGCTGTCGCCGCCGAAGAACACGCGCCCGAAGTCGGCGTGCTCCGTCAGCCACTCCTCGCCGCCGCCGGCAGAGGAATGGGACGCAACCCACTTGAGAGCCAGCCACGAGTCCTCGAATGCCGCCGGAATCGGGTGCTCCGGGGCCAGCCTGTAATCGACGGAGACGATCACGGCGTTGGCTTCGGCCGAGACTAAGCAGAGATGCTTCTGGTAAGTCGGAGAGAAAGCAGATTCGACGATGAATCCTCCGCCGTGGAAGTACACCAAAAGTGGAAGTTTCCGGCCCGGACTGGCAGTCTTGGGGAGGAAAATCCTGACGGAAACTTTGGGGTCCGATGAAATCTCGAGGTCTTTGCATCTGACTCCGGTTTCGGCATCCGGGCCTGGAGGGACGACATCTTCGCCTTCCAACCTTTCAACTCGACCATCCTTGTACACTATCATTAAGGGGGAAAAGTCGTGAAGTATATTTGTATCCAATGAATCTCCCATTTTTTGGTGCTTAATAATATCAGGAAAATGATTAGGTTGGTGTTTAAATAAGCAACCAGAAGGTTTAAAATATGTAATATTTCCATCAACACAATACAAATCCATATCTAATATTATGGGTCTAATATTGCCTTATGGTACCTTATGGGTACCATATAATTTGCCTTATTCTTATGAATTTTACCTATTTTTTATGAAGCTTTGAGAAACATCGATTTATTAAATTGATTTTAACAATCCAAGAATTCAGGGGCGGTCTCATATTTTGCTGAATCTAACACTCCAGTGTGACCAAAACAATTTATTTCCTAGAGTTCCTTGCGCAGCGATAGAGAGCCGACCCTAAGAAACCCTAGACGGCCATCCCCAACCCCCTTCAAGATCCGATTTTGGAAGATGAAGACATTCTCTATGCAATGAAAGATCGAATCAAAGGTTTTTCTATGCTTTCGCACTTTTTCAATTTCTATTTTCAAGGAATTTGGTCTGGCTTCTTCATTGGCCGAGAATTTTGTCCGCTTCATGTGAGCGTGTGGTATGTTATTCTCCTAGCAATGTCTAGAGGTTGTGCGTTTCTAATCGGTGTAATCGATCCGGTGAAGCTTTTTCAACCTTGTTGTTCTGATGTTTCAAATACTCGCCCACCATCTGAACCATCGCCTCACTCTAGGAAGAAGAAGAAGATGATCAAGTGGATCTCCTTTGCGGTGGCTGGTCAAACCGATGCTTCAAGAAATTTCTACTCGACTGGTTTCCCTTTGTTGGTTGCTGGTCAAACCAATTCTCCCTTTCCGGTGGCTGGTGAAGCCAGATCTTTTAGTTGTAATTTTTTAATCTCTCTTTGGAGTAGCAAGAAGATCAGCAAGGCTGTTAGACTAGACTACATTATTGCGGGGTTAGCGATCTGGAAGGATACATTGAACCTGTTCCGTTCTATGTCTCATCTCATTGTAGCCTCAAACTATTCATTCTCTTGTATTTTTGCTATCGCTTGATAATAAATTAGTTATTTAATTTAAAAAAAACAATACAAGAATTCAATTACATTATAGTAGTAATATATTTTCGTAATTGGAACATCTAATTATATGTTTTAAATCTAAACGCACGAATTAAGTTTTTTGTTTTTTTTAGGTAAATAAAACAAAGGAGAAAGGAATACTTATTGCTTTCAAATGTGAAAATTCTTTTGGTGGGGTGTCCAAAAAATATTAGAAAAATGTTAAATTCAATCTGTTTGAAATTTTAGTGTCCAATATGTGATACGCATGGGATCATAGTGTCCAGTTTGGTTCATTTGAAACTTGTCTATTATAATATTGACGTGTAACCATAATGTCCAATTTGACCATTATCCTGCTATTATTTTTTATCACTGAATCTCGTTCGTAGACAAAACATGCCTATGAACATATTCACAAATATGTTATGTATATGAACGGAATTCACAGACAAAAAGTAATCTTTTCACTGAAGTGTATATAAGAAGCACATGTGTAAGAAAGTGTGTATAAATATAATTTTTCTAACATAAATGCCATTGGCCATTGGCCATTAACCATAAGTGCTGAACGAGCAACGCAACATACTACCTCCGTCCCGAAAACAAATTTCCTGTTTGGCACTATTTCGACACTGTTTTGACACCGTTTCGACACTGTTTGGTAAAGTTATCACCCCATAAGTTTTGACACTGTTTCGACACTGGTTGATTTTCACACATTTTAAGGAAATAAAATTACTGAGGGTAAATTTTACTGCTTTGACACCGTTTCGACACTGTTTGGCACTATTTCGACACTGTTTGACACCGTTTTGCACTGTTTGACACTGTTTTGACGTAGATAATTTGCCAAATAAGGAAATGGGAAGTTTATTTTGAGACATCCAAATAAGGAAAGTGAGAACTTGTTTCCGGGACGCATGGAGTATTTCCTTACAAAAAGTGAAAAACAGTAGAGTATTCCCTCTGTCCCGCAGCGCCGATCCTGAGAAAATGCATGTGCAACAATAAAATTTGAACCTTTTTTCCAAGTTCCATCTTTTAACAACGTAAAATATATATATTCCTAGTGTAAAAAATTTCATGTAATTTTTTTTCATAAATATTTTAGTACTAAACCAGTTCGACCCAGCGTCTTGCCCCCGTCTCTGAACGCAATGTTATGGAACGAAAGTAATGCCACATCAGGATATATTCGTACAATCGTACTACAGTTGGGTTTATTGACCTCTACCCCCTCCGTCCCCTTATAAATGTCCCATTTTACCATATCGGGATGTCCCTATTTAATTGTCTCATACCTTATTTGATAAAGTTTGTGTGACTCAAAATCATTCTTACTTTATTCTTACTTTATTTTTATTTTATCAATTAATATCAATCACACAAACCCATTTTTCTTAAAACTCGTGTCACCCTCTTCCGGGACATTTAAAAGGGGACGGATGGAGTATCTCCGTGTAATAAACAGCTATAAAAAAAGTGAAATTAACAGCTACTACGTATTTTTGTGTGTGTAATAAACAGCTATTAATACGTTTGTTGGAAAATAAAGTGAAGACAAAGAGATAAGTGGCCCAATCAACCACTCTTTCACGTAATTAGTAATTACACAAGATGACAAAATATTAAAATGAAATAATTAAATATTTATAACTAAAATAAAGACTCCTACAAAAATGTGACTATTGACTAGAATAGTAATGAAATCATAGTAACTTATGTTTAATTTTTTGAACTTAAGTTATTATAACACTACATTGTAGTAACTAAAAGTCATATTTGTGTAAATAAGTGTTATTTTAGTAATATTTTTTAAAAATTCCTATTAAAATACAAACCCCTTAATAATAGAAAAAATTCACATAAATAATCTGAACTATCAGTGATCTTCTTATATTAATCCCAATTATCAATAATTCCAGTATAATCTAAATTATTGTGGGTACCTTCTCAAAATAAGCCGGTGACCTACATAAAGCAATTCAGAAGGTCACCCGGACACATGATCTATTTTTATTGGTTTACAATTTTACATTTTATTCTATTTTTTCTTTTTCTTTTTTGCCCCTTCATCTTTCTTCTCACTGAGGTTCGGGCGGGCATACGAGCTTTTCAGGCGAAACGCCGGCCGATCCTTGTTCAACCATCGTCACTTAGGTCAGTCACCGGCTGTAAATCTTTGATGATCGATCGTTCGTTGCAGTGGCTCTTCAACGCCGGCTGTCCGTTTGCCCGTCCATCTTTATGGTCGATGCACCGTCAATCCCTCTTGTTCTTTAATGACGTACCACATCCATCCCATCTGGTCTGGTCTCCAACGTCTCATGATTCGTCAATCACCCAATCATATAAGTTTCATCATCGACTGCTATGAATAATGTTACATTTGAGGTGGATTGACCAAATTAAACCTTAAAATCTGAAATTGAAAGCATGAACTGCGAATTTGAGGTGCAAATTCAGAACAAAAGGAAGGCAGAGGGAGATTTCCATAAAAGGTGGAGGGAGAGAAAAAAAAGTGAAATATAACAGAAAGGAGAAATCTGATTGTTTGAGACAGGAGGGATCACGAGCAGTAAAGAAAGTCCAATGACGATGAAGCAGCGTGAGAGACGATGAGGAAGCACAGTTGTGCATCTTTTTTCAATTTTCTTTTTACTTTTTTACCTATTTAATAGGTTCCAGGTAACATGGATCAATATAGGAAGATCTCTCGTAAATTTGAGATTATTTCAGAATTGTGTATATGTAGCTAGGATTAATATTAGAAAACCCAAATAGTTCAGATTGTTTATGTGAATTTTTCCTTAAAAAATATAGGATTTGTTGGATCAGATTTGTTCCCATTTACTTTGATAGTACCCCTTCCAGAACAACTTTTCGAAAAGGGAGGGAAAGGGGACAAAAATACCCCTAAAATTGTTACCAAATGGCATATATAACGTCCTTGTTTATTTTGGTACAAAAAACTTTAAAAACCCCTCATAGGAAGGCAATCACCTTATCACCCCCTTCCTAGTGAACTAATGTAAGGGAGACAGCAACTTTTAAAAATGCTAAAATTGCTCATTTGAGTTTTCAACAGAATAAATTTTAATTGTATGAAATATATATTAACTATGTCTGTAAATTAATTGAAATATGAAATATACATAAAACAATTATATTGCAAATACAAGTACCGAGTAAAAAGAGAAAAATAATGAAATAATGATTATACACAAAGGTTATTATTTAGCAATTAGAAAAAATACTGCATTAAAGCCCATTTGATATGACAAAATCGAATTAGGTACTTAAAAACATATTATATTATATTTTGATATAAATATTAAGAAATATGAATAGTGCACAGCTAATTAATATAAATATTTCGGTAAGATATGATTTCGACTTATCAACCATTTTTTTGTCGAACTATTTTAAATCAGCTACTTTTGGTACGTAGTATATTTTAGGTGATAAAATGTGATTATATGATTTCGACTAAGAGAGAATAAAGCAACTATTAAAAAAATGAGATTGTGCGCGCATTATTAAATTGAAAAAATGTGAATAAAGTAATAATTAATTGTAATAGTCTAAATATTACTTAATATGGTATGCGATAAACTTAATGAGACAAGCAAAAAATGTTAAGTGGGATATATAGAGGACGAATGAAATATTAATAAAATACGCAGTATATTCTAAATATTAATATAATGTAAATCATTAATAGAGTTTCTCCGGTCAAAAATATGGATAGGTACATTTATAGAAAAAGGTATGACTAGTCATTGTGTACGACTAGCTAGACAAGTGTCATTATAGTGTATTTCATAGTGTAAAGTCACTAATAGATAATGAGTTACTGAGAACTAATTATTGAATATGTCACATTTTATTTTATTTTTGGAATAAATCATATTTTTGTCGTTTGAATTTGATTTAGTAATATTCATGGGAAAAAACCCATGCTATTTGAAAAATGTCATTTCTTTGTAATTGAGTACATTCCGTTAATTTAGTC